ACTACCTGCTCAACACTGAGCAGCAAACAGTTAGCAACTAACTAGTTTTAAAGCAGCTTAAGAGCCAGTTATCAACACGTGCTCATCTCGTGGCATCAAATACAGACGCAATATTTGACGAATCTATTTCAACCACCTTTAGGTTTCGGGAAAGATTGTGGTTTTGGGTTGAAATAAGTACATTACGTGACGACGGATGGGTTGCATTGGAGTTACTTGAAAGCCCAGGGCGTGTCACACGGATTCTGACCTGCATACCTTGTGCATCGGTATTTAACGTCCTGAGATGAGACCGGGTCGGATGTTTCCCTCAGGAGTTGGTAGAGATTAAAAAAAAAAAAAAAAACTGAGCTAAAAGGTGAGTGAAAACTGGACTCGCATTAATCAGATTAAATGAATGCTAGTAGTGCTACATATCTGCTGAATTTTTAAATAGGCATAAACTGCTTGCTAACAAATCTGACATATCATCTTAAAAAGGTGCTAATATGTCAGTGTTTCTGCTGCCCCCAAGTGGCCAAAAACTTTTTTTTACTGCAGGAACAACAACATTTATTTAACATCTACTGTAGTGGAAGACGACTGAATAAATCTTTCACAATTATAACTTGTTCAGTAACTGAGTAAGTTAAGCCATCAGGTGAAACTGAAAAGACAGGGCAAGATATTAAAGAGGAAGATACACACCAGCCAAAGGGGTTATTCAAACCTGCCAACCCAAATGTTGTTCTTATTCATGTTATTACTGATCTATGAAGCATTAGATAACACTGTATGCTCTATCAGAGAGTACCCATTCTGAAAAGTAAGTACTGGTGCTCAGTGGCCAAGCATAAATCCTGTTGACCACAGTGACTTTATGGTCCAGCTTATCTCTCATTTAGTTTTATGTGTTTTCCTTCTCCCCACCTCAGTAGCCACTGATCCCACAGTGGCCCCCATCATACCTCCAACCTGCCCTCCCACAAACAGGCTGACCAGTGATCCCAGCAGGGCCTCCCCTCTCACCAGTGAGCGCAGCCACCTCATCCAGTCTGCTAGCTTCCCCCACAAACCCCAGAGAAAAGAGTCAGGATGGGAGGAACGGGAGACACTGGTAGAGGGGAAAATACGATCTACTGCATCCACATTCAAGTCACCTATGCTCCTCTCTGCCTCTTCCCGGACTGCTTCCTTTTCTTCTTCTGCCACATCGTCCTCTGGTGGCGAGTCAGTGGGAGACACCTGGTCGTCGTGCTTGTCTCCTCTCCTCTGTCTCACTATCTCTTCCTGCCTCTCTCTCACTCTTTCCTCAGCGTCCTGGTACAGTGGGCAGCTGAAGTATGGTGCCCCGCTCTCCGCCACTGCCTGCTCGACCTTCTCCAGCAGCTCCTCAACAGCTTTCCTCTCCTCTGGTTCTCCACTGCGGGCTTCCAGCGTGTGGTAGCGGTCACCACATCTTTTCACCAGCTCCTTCAGGTCCTTGCGCCAGGTGACAAGGTATTCCTCCAGCTTCTCATCCTCATCCAGCTCCTCAGTGTAGGTGAAGAGTATGATGGTGTTTGTGCTGACTGCAGAGGGGCCAAACAGCTCCTGCAGGACATCCAACGCCCTGGCCTCTTCATCATCTGGCTGGTTCACAGGGACACACAGCAGGAAAGCATGTGGTCCGGGGCTGGATAAGGCGATAAAGGAGGATATGTGTCTTTTCCTTTCCTGTGAGTCGCAGCCTGAGCCGAACCAGGGTGGACAGGAGACTACCACCACCTGCCGAGAGGTGGCAGAAGCATAAAATCAAGATTGAATAGTGTTTGCACAGCTATTTTTTTCTCTACAGTACATTAATGCTGCAAACTGATGTGTCATATTTAAGATTGATTCAATGACATGGTGTATATGATTTGAAGATGGGAATCTACGGACAGCAGTAAATATTTGTGTGTGCAGTTATGTAAGTGCATGTGTATATGAGTATGCATATTTATGTTTGTACTCATATTAGAGGCTGACATTTTTGGGGATTCCTGTAGGATGGGAGTTCATTTCCCTAATTATCATGGGAGGGGGGGGGATCAACGTTAGCATGCAGACGGGAATCATAGGTTTGTTTTTATATATAAATATGCATTTCTAATAAGAATATACGCTATTTTCTGATTTTATCTTTTTTAAGGACGAGATGGGACAGGAGTCATTCATTATTATTTTTGGGGAGCGGCATGGCACAGGAGTGAAAATCCACCCTTGTGTCACCCTCTAATGTAAATGTATCCATGTGTGGTGTATACAGTGTATATGCTCATGTGAGTATGTCTTCTTTCTTTTTTAACTTTTGTATTTGTCTAAAGAGCAAAATCATTAACATATGAATCATGTAAAAAAAAAACATGTGTGTTTTGGTATGCTTGTCTTGTATAGTCTCTAAATTTAAATATTATAGATATTATGTGACATTAAGATTTTTTTTCATAGCTTTGTAATTGAAACCACTTGAATTAAGTGCCAGACATTCTTTATTTTTCCTCATTTGTGTGGTGTTCCTTTATTGAAGTTATGATCCTTCAGAAATCCACCATATCTAACCTAGTTCTTGATACCATTTATGGCTGGCATTTACTCTGCTGTAGCCATTAAATGTGTTACCTCTATATCGTACTGTGCATCGTTAGTGGGAGGGTCCATCATTCCTGCACTGGATTTAAATGGTTTAGACTGGAGGTCTGGATATGCATAAGGGACTGACGGGAAGTGACACATACTGGACGAAATTTGGAAGACTGCGCATCACATGTCAATGGTTATGTGAAACTGTGGAGCAACCAGCCCTGGGAATTTTAAAGAGGACACATATTTGCGTCTGCGTATCTATAGTTATAAAGAAATCATGGTTTTTATTTTGTATGTCTGACATATGGGACGGCTGCGGCTCAGGGGGTAGAGCGGGTTGGCCGTTAATCGGAAGGTCAGCGGTTCATGTCGAAGTGTCCTTGGGCAAGATGCTGAACCCCGAATTGCCCCTGGCGGCTGTCTCAGTGTATGAATGTGTATGACTGGTGAATGCAGATGTAGTGTAAAAGCGTTTTGAGCACTATACAAATACGGAGCATTTATATACAGATAAACATGTATTTTCAAAAGGAACTCTAGGACTCATGTCATTAAGACATTCGTAGTGTCCAGGTTTATCCAAATGAAATCATAAGGATGATACCTTTAACTTGGCCATGTTGATCGCAACTGGATATGATTTTGCATACAAATGTATCTATTATTAACATTTATATTTAAAATATTAGGTAAAATATTAGTAATTGTCTTTTGGCACCTCTTGTTCTCAGTTCCTTCCATAAGGAATCTGTTTCTTTATTACGTACCACTGCCTTACTGGCCTCATAGTCTAAAGATCCAACTTAAATTTAGTTTTTAAAAAGATACTTTCTCCCTCCAGCCACAGCTTCTATGTGGATTTCATGCCTACCTGTCTGCCTGCAGCCTCTCCTCTGTATTTTCTGCACTCCTGGATGCCAGCAGCATATGTGTCCTGAGAGTCTGGCAGGTCCAGGATGTTGCAGACTGCTGATCTCTTTCCTGCCCCGGGCCGGCCCAGCACCACCAGCCTCAGCTCTGCTCAGCAGGACAAGGTGGAGAGAAAATGCACAATTATAGTTCTTGGGGTATAGCCTCCTGTACTTTAGACTATATGTAAAGTTGTGTGTATACTGAGTATATACTGTGTATGTGTTGTCCAGAGAGTTCACAAGCTTTTCAAATGCACTGGTAGTTGTATAATTAGTTAAATGCTGTATACCAATCAGAATACGTGTTGAACAAATATGCGGAAGTTGGGTGGCTTTGTGCCTGGAGGTGTTAACAACAGCAACCTCATTCTCTGCCTCGTTCTTCTATAACAACGTAACCCTGATGGCATTTTATGACAATAAACTTACTTGAATTCTTACATCCTCATGTCAAAATGTTGTTTGTCGTTGTGGTTTTTACTGATAGCGGTCAGCTGATATAAATGCTCACATTTCCGAGAAGTGGCAGCGCCCCTTGCAGCTGCTGTCTCTTCTCATCTCAAACCGCACAAATACTGAAAACAGTCGAAGGGAGCCGCCCCTGCCGACTCTTCTCCTGTTATGGCTCTCAGATCCAGCACTTTTAAACACAAAGAAGTATCCAGCCTACCTGACTGTGGAGCAGATGCTGACATTTCCGATCCTGTTCACTGCCGCACTAAGTGTTGATTCAGGGATGAACGCACTTCCTTGTTCCTGGAGGCGCCCTGCCTCAGTTACTGGACCAACGGGACCAACTGGGCTGACTTCAGCAGAGGTGCACACGGCTCCGTCTGTTGTGGTGGCTGATGCGCGGATTCTCAATCCGGGGCCCGCGGACCGCCAGAGGGCCGAGGAAAATGACTAATCACTTTTCTTATCATTTCAACACGCTGGTGTTTTGTCACATTACATATGAGGAGGCCTGAGTTATATGTGACAGTTTAGCTGCATTTTGGAACCTACAACTTTAAAAGGTGTAGCCTATTCCCTACAACCTATAAAAACTATATATTAAACACTGAATCACAGTGAGAAAAACAGTTCTTAAGGTCCCTGTGGCCCCGACGTGCACTTACATTTTTGAGGAGGTGCACAGCAGGCTATGGCGTAGGCTAATACATAGGGTACAGGTCTACACGTGGACTATGCATAAGCTTGACCATCAATTCGACCAAAGGTTTAAATCACACTTGAGAGTGATGGGAATGTCATTACAATTCATCCTGTGGGGAATATTGACATATCAAAGTTCACTAAAGATAGTTCACTAAAAACCAAAGATTTCAACTTCAACTTGTAGGCACTACAGGAAAATGTAGAGGACCACCAGTCATTAGGATAAATCCTTCTTGCACCATTCTGTGGAAAATTCCATGGCACTTGATTCAAATGGCTGGGCCACCTTCACCTGGACCAAAGTGTTGACCCTACCGACTGGCTAACAAAAAAGCAGAAGCAAAATTTGGGGACAGATAATTTTTTAATGCTGCCATTTTGGTCTGACAGTGATTTTTGTTTAACAGCTCCTGATTAAAACAAGGTTGCACCTAAAAGATGTTTTTATTACTTTTGAAATTTTACAGTAGTCAAAATCTAAATGCTGTACGCACAGTAAAATATCAAATGTATAAAACAGCAAGGCATGATAGTACTTTTTACACGTTAAAAGAAAAACTAAGCAGGTGTCAAATATATTACGTTATGTTGATGATGACCAAAAGACAACTTAAATGTTCCTGTACATTTTGTAAAAAAACAAAACAATCTAACATGTCCAGAACAGTCAACAGTCTCATATACTAACAGTCACACCCACTCCACAGCTGATCAAATGCACACATGCATTCAGTACAGTACATACAAGCGTAAACCCATTCATACAACAGCACACTGTACAATAAACAAGTAAAACTAAGCTGACACGCCAAGAAAGATTAATGTGTTCAGTAAAATGTTTCATTAAAAAAATATAACAATTAGAAAACTTAAGAAAACAAGGCTTTTAAAAAATACTTTAAAAACATGTTGACACTAGAAATACCCAAGTTTTCAGATGCCAAGCAGTGCCTTAAATTAAAGTCCAAGGGTCACTCCTGTGAAAGACCACTCCAGTCAAATTTGTTAACGTCTTATGTCAAATCACTCCACGCCGATTATCCTCCTTCACTCACAGTCCAGGCATGATGTAGGCAATGTTGTCCAACGTATTTGACTGACAGAAAAAGAGAGAGCTTTGTTAGAAGACTGCAATAAAGATGCACATGATCACTGCCACATGTAACACTTGGATGTAAAAAGTAAATTGAAATTATGAAGCTGAAAACATTTATAAATGCTAATACTCTACCAGGACGTTTCGAGGACATCCGTTTAATTGTGGTATCTGTGCTGTGAGACAGGTCAGCGGTCCCAGCGCACACAAGATGGAGTCCAGAAGTACAGACAGACTCCCGGACACAGCCACCATCCCCTAACACAAAGAAACTTTTGCCATGACTCACTTACTCCACTGCATAGTAATGAATCTCCACATTAAACTTCAAACAGTAAATGTGGTGCATAAACTCTTAAGTGGACAATAGAGCTTCTTTTATATCTCTATGTTGGATACTTGTTCATGCAAATAGTGTTTGCACGCATGCATGTGGAAACATACCTCTGTTTCCTGTAGCCGATGCCCAATCAAGGACAGGGACTCTCCCAAGAGCTGCAGGTGAGCTGCTGCATCAATAGGATCAACATCTGGGACTCGTGCTGGGGACAGGGACACAGTGCCAGGCGCTCTGTTCGGGGACACCATCCCTGTTCCCGTTCCTACAACTTTCATGATGAAACAGAATCAAAAGTCAACAGTAATGAAAACTGACAGTGAGAGCACACAGGGCTGAGAAATGACACATCTCAATCAGTTGAAAACTTTCACGTCAAAGATACCTTTGCTTTTGCCCTCACTGGCAGTCTTGTGTTTGACTGTGGTGGCCTCAGCTTTGTTCTGTTTGTGCTGCAGATACTGAGCTTTTTGCCTCCAAACCTATACAGGAGAAAACACAGGATGTTTTGTCCACCACAACAACTGCAAGCTAATAGTGACATTCAAAAGATTTTCCAGTATCAATCACAAATTGGGGGGGGGGGAAACATACTAATTTGTCTTTCTCTGGCATCGCCTTCCACACCTCCGCCAACCTTTTGCTTAGCTCACCAAAGACTGCAGATGAGACATACAAACATAGTTTAAAACGTGCATTTTAGTCATAGTTAAATAACAGGACAATATGTCAATCAGTGTTACATTACCCACCTAGTCCAGGCTGTTCTGCATTTATGTTGACCCTGTACTCCTTACAAAACACCTGATATGCTGTTGTGTTCTTCTTCTTGGGCTAAGAGAGGACAAAATAAGTTGATTTAATGCCAGGGACTCAACACTTTTAAGCTCCTTTTCCAGTTTGACTGTAACTACCAACAACTTTGACTACCAACCCAGCAAGAAACAAGACCTAACAGTATCTTACCTTTTCTTTTTCCTTCTCATGCTTTTCCCGATCTTTTTCCTCTTTCTTCTTCTTCTTTTCTGTGATTCCATCATTGCCTTGATGGTGATGTGGAGGGACAGGCGTGCCCATGGCATACATTGGACCAACAGCGCTGTGAGTGACAGTGGGATGGGAGTGGCTGTGGCCCCTCGATGAGTCTGAAGATAAAGAAGATAAAGTGATGGTAATGACATGTTTTGTATTGAAACAATCAGTTATACATAGTTCTTTGATTCTGGGTTGAGAGAAGAAATAGCCCCTATTTTTTGACACCTATTTTTAAAACTGGTAACCCAAACGCTGCCAACCAACACACGTTTGATCTTTTACAACTACTATTACTCACTTATACTGTAATTCACAGTATGCACATTTTTAAGTCAGTTGGGCTCAGCAAAAGCAGAATGACACAAACTAAAACTTGCAAGTCTGTAACTTTCTATTGGTCAAATCCAAAACAGAAATGAATAATTAAATGACAATTTTTACATTGTCAATTTTTATTGCAACATTTTGTGTTGCAACTATTTCTTACCGAAAGAATAACACAACAAAGACAAGACACCCTAGGGACAACTACAACATATTTGTTATATAACAAATATTACCTCCAAATCCTTTGCTGTGCTTCTTGTCTTTCCCACTTTTATCCTTGTCTCTGTCTTTTTCTTTGTCCTTTTTCTTCTTGCTTTTTTTGCTCTTCTTCTTCTTTTTTGACAGGTGTGTGTATGAATCATCTATAACCAGTTCACCAGCCTCCAGTTCACCCCCGGATGAAGAGCTGTCATCTCCCATGCCACCTCCATAATGACCTGTATCACAGAGAACAGCAATGAATATTAATAAACAAAACAAAACATGGGGTTCTGAATGATTTAAGGTGTTATCAGACATCGGGACAATAGGTGAACCAATAATATCTATAGCAGCAAAATCTGCACCAATAAAGCTCATTAGTACTTGTTTGATCAGCACACAAACGTGTCTGTTTCTAATACCACAACTTATATATTATAATTTCATTATTTCATGCACAATAACCAATATGTGGTTATCTTGGCCAGTAACATGTTGTTTAAAATGGAATTTTTATTTATTAATGAAAGAGAAAATTTGAGTTATGCTGCAGATTTCAAAACATGATTGGTGTTTAAAAGAGAGCGAGGTACAGTTTGTTAGAAGTGATGTCATATAACTGCATTATTCTCTACAGTATAACAATATATATTTAACTCTAGATTTGCTGTCATTTAGGAGACACGCGCTAACATTTAGAAAAGAAGATGATGGTGACTGAGGAAATATAGGGCTCAAAACTAACTTTTTCACCACCTTCCCCAAACTCACAAGACGGAGCACTAACATTGTTCTACAGCAGCAGCCACACTGACAAGGCTGCCTGCAGATATTTTTTATTGGCCTTGTGAGTGCCGGCATCAGATAATGCTGATTATCTCAAAATGCCAGATATCGGCCCGATTAATCAGTCTATCATTACTAATAATGAAATGCATTAGCTGTAAAAGCTGAATAAATGTACTTATTATTAGAAGAGTGGTCCAAGAATCTTCTACGTTTCTAGTGGACATGTACGTCATACCCCTAATACAAGTAATAAAAAAAACACACAAGTGAAAGTGTCTGCACAACATCTGTGTACGTTTGTTTACAGCAGCCTGGAGAAGCATAATTCCAGCCAGATATACACATAACAATATATACGTAACTTGCATACCCCAGAACATAATACAAGGGTTATCTCACCTTCCACCTCCACCTCTTTCCCTACTACAGGAAGTGGATCTCTATTTTGCTGTAGTTTCTTCTTGGGTGACTTCGAGAGCTGCATCCTGTCTCTATCCTTCTCTTTCTTTACACCTTTGGATGAGTGAGGCGTGAACGGGAAGCTTTCTCCTTCCTCTTTCTCCGGCGACATGATGAGCTTCATCTTCAGCCCGTCAGCCTCACGTAACGTCAAGGGTTCTTCTTTGGGAGCTCCGCCGTGGAACAGAGATGACTTTGCGGAAGAGGAGGAGTGCTTCTTGGAGGAAGATGACGATGAAGACACGGGGCGGGAGTGAGAGAAGGAGTGGCTCCCTTTGCTTCCACCGCCGCTGCTGCTCTCACGTTTGCGGTCCTTGGAGGAGTGCGAGGAGAAGGAGGGGTAGGAGGGTTTCTTGTGCAAGTGGGGGCTGGGGTCCGAACCTGTGGCCAATGGAGAGGTGATAGCCTGCAGGAGGCCCATCGCTGTATCTGTTGGGTGGGACGATGAGGGGGAAGAGAGGGTAGGGGAGCGGTCTGCAGACTTGTGCTTTTTCTTGTGGGGAGGTGGACCTGAGCCATCATGGTCTGATACAGGGACAATACGAGAAAACAAAAAAGTAAATACAATTGCAGTATTTCTTTGTGCAATTAAAAGATTATTACAATATATCAACCTCCCACCTCTGTAATAATAGTCATCACTATGTTTTTTCTTCTTTTTGTGTGAGTCCCCTCCAAGCATGAACAGTTCTGAATCCTGATTTGGAATGACAAAGTTGTTTTCCATTTAATAGCGGCACAATATTTTAAAAGGCTTTCTGTGATATTAAACCATGAGGTCAAGATATTGTGGAAAGATAACGTACCTTGGGCCGTTTCTTGGATGACTTTCGGACTTGTGCAGCAATCTCCTCTTCCTCCCTTAGCAAATCCTTGTAAGACCTCCTCTTCTCTCTCTGGCTACGACCAGCTACAAGGCCCCTGTCTCCATCCATCCCCACATCTAGAATACATGAATTGAGTATTATAATCTTTAACTTAAAAGTAAAAAATTTATAAAATATGTATACGTATAAAGAGAATATTTAACATAGTCTATTTAATGGGTCTTGTTACATCTGTGTCTCCTGAAATGTTCTCATACAAAGGAAGGGTTCAGACTATGTTTGATAGGCCTGTACAGCAGGAACACAGTAAAACCAAATGCAGTGTACATGCAGACGTTACCCATTCCTCCTTTACACTTGATCTCCTCAAAAGCCATGGCTGCTCCTTTGTCAACACGTTTATTTGTCACAGTATGTCACTGACAACATAAGGCAGGATACTGACCTATAAAGTGAACACCAAGAATACAAATTCAAATGCAAGTTGGATATACAATATATATTCTGGACAAAAACGATTGAGATCAATTTAACTCAACACAACAACAAAGTGAAAAACTTTAGCAATTTATGTAATTTTTAGCACCTTGTAACGTTACCTAGACATCAACATTACACCTCACTAGGTGTTTGATTGCTGTAACTGTTCCTGTTTAGTCCGACACTGAGCAGTCCAAGAAACCATGGAGCTGCAGGTAACCTGAACGTAACGCTATTCAAAAGTAGAGAAGTGCTCGATGATGGCCTGCTTATTCAGGAAAAATACAATTTGCGTTATAATACAATAATGATGAGGTCTGTCACCTACAAAAGAATACACAACAATTAAAGCTAAACACATTCCCGCCTACTTTCGTAAAGCTACACACACCCCCTCTTCGTTTACTTTTCAGTCCCTAGCTTTCCCAACATCTCCAGCACCCGAAATCGGTCTCGCCGACCGCGTCCTCAGCTTGCCGGTGAGAGCGGCTAAGGAAAGTCCGAGGCTTTCACCCACAGCTAGGCCACGGTCGCCTCAAGTGCACAAAATACTGTGTTGGACATGCATTCAACTGTGCTCATGTCTGCAGCTCATCTGGGGTGGTAGCAGGTGTAGTTTAAAAACACCAAGAGGAGATGAAAAAATGTGTTTATTAAATATAACTACCTCTATGGGGTCTCCAATTTACGCGGGTCCGGTCGCCATGTTTTATCGTCGGCGACACAACAATACGTATCAACGTAAAGGAGGGGCTTTGGTAACGCGGCCAATCAGCGGGGGGGGGGTAGCCATGTTAGCAACACGTTTGCTAAAGCTCTGAAACAAGGTATCCTATTATCCAAAATAACAACCTCTTTATACATATTTAATATGTTGACATTGAAATATGTATGTTAAATTGCAACAGAAACTCAGGCAGATAAACAAGTCTTTTTCACATTATATGAAGGACAATAATTCACAACTATAGTCAAACATAATGATTTATTGATTCACATAATATCCATATCCAACAACAGCCAAATCAATTCTTACACTACAGTTCACATGCAAACATGACATGCAATACAAGAGAAAAGGCAACGAGATATCTGGTGATGCTGTTGATAAGAAAACCAAAAATACAACAGTGAGAAGTGTTTAATCACTTCATGAGAAATATGTCTTTTAATTATCATAGAACATTGAGCTAATAAAGGCAGGCAAAAAGAGCACATCAGCACCCAGCTGTGACACACACACACACACACACACACACACACACACACACACACTAGAGAGCTGACGTCCCACTGCACCTGTGTGTTAGCTTCTTCTGTTCCACTAGCTTCCTGTTCTCAATCTATTTTTCTAAGTTACTTTAATCCCCTTTCTGAAAAGCTAACATGTTTAAACATTCTTTCTGTCCATAAGCTAAATTGATATCTACTACACTATAGTGCTGGTCATTAAAATTTTAACATCTTCTCATTTCAATCAAAGTAACAATATTTTTGTTAGCATTATTAGCATATTTTTAGCCACAGGTACACTTTCAAAACTTCACCAGAGCTGTAAATGTTAACAAAAATCATTGTCTTATCTTGGTTAAAATTACGTGGTGCTCGAATGTTACTGTCCATTACAGTAGTACTATATATAAACATTGTTGTTTGGAATATGGACAGAAAAACCCATCAGTATGGTTCACCATTTGCTTGGCTAGCGAAGCTGAGGCTAGCTTGAAAAGGAGCAGGACTTCAGCTCTTTGTACACGTTATCTTCTACCTATCTCCCAAATTCTGTTTCTGTAGACTGAGTGATGTAAAACTGGCCAATAAATCGGTCACCTCATCCACCTGAAGAAGAGCAAAAATACATGCAACCATGTATTAGTAGGTGAACATAAATGTACGTTGTAAGTAAGTGCATAATAACTACGGACTACACGTAAATCTTAAAAACACACACACATTTAAGTTTGGTTACACCAATCTTGATTTTTATGCATGTGAACCATTTAATGAGTCTTTTGGTCTCACCTGCTCTTTGGTGCGTGTGTGCTGCAGCTGTGTTGAAATGTGCTCCAGCCTCTCTTTAGCTTCACTCTGACCCATTAAGTTCAGGTACTCCCTCAGCATTTGAATAATCTGCAAGGAAAAGTCAGATATAAAAATCTTCAGCAACACAACCTGCCTTAAAATTAAGAATGCAGACGCAATTGCAAAACAAACCAAGATCTATTCAAATCCCTAAGTTATGATTCACTAAACTAGGCAAGTTAACACATTATATACCTGTGTGACTTCCCCTCTCAGGGTTTCTAAGCTGTGTGAATCTCCCTCCTGCAGAATATTAAGTTTGGAGCGTGCTAGGTGCAGAGGGGTCCTTCCTGCTCGGTCGAGGGCATCCACACGGGCTCCTTAACAGAGACAATAAGAGCACAATTCTCTGTCACACATGCTTATTAAATAGTTTTAAAGAATTCTCAGTTGAATTATGATAATCCTCTCTAAAGTGTATTAGCCCTGATTGAAGGATCAATGTTGTTCTAAATCTAGCAACATCACATAAAAAAAATGTTGAAATATTTTGTTTATTTGCCACATTTCCAAGGTTACATTCAGAATTTAGATAAATTAACTTTTAAAGTCTAAATACAGGCTGACAACAGATGTTTCTGCTGTTAGGGGGCTTTCACACTTACCTCATTTGGTGCGGACTTTCTGACTTTTCAGTTTGGTCCGAACCAAAATTTCAAACAGACGAAATTTGGTCTCGGTACGGATCAAACTGAACCATGGTTCGGTTCATTTCTGGTGTGAAAGCATTTTTTGGATTTTTTGGACTTTCAGACCATTTACAGGAAGCTCGGCATTTGCCGTATAAACCGGAAACAAACAAATGCACGGGGAAAGGCATGGAAATAAGCACACAATTATAAATCTTCCGTGACAGCTCATCTTTTCCAACAGAGGGAAGCACACTGCCACCCATCTCTCTGGTCTCTCCTCAAACAGAGGTGCAGGATTGCTTGGCATCTTCTCCCCCTGTCCTGTCGGCGATGTTATAATACGAGGACGTTTAATTGCGACTAGCCTTCAGTATAGTTGGTGCTGCAGGTAGTAATGCCATAATAATAACAACAATATAGGCTAGTGGTGGCAAATATGCACATGTTAATTTTTTTATTCATTCATTCTTGTCAAAGATACCCGCTGAACTGTTTAATAAACCAATCAATGTCAAGTACGGGGAGACGCACCCCACATACATGATGACGACAGGACACATGTAAAGTCCTTCAGTGCGGTCGCAGAATTGCAGTGTGAAACCAAACTAACTTAAACTTAAAGGTAACCTGTGTCGTACTTGCTGTATTTTAGGTTTTTGGCAAGTGACCATCATGGGTAGAGTAATCTTCTAGAAGAAGTCTGTCTGGGAAACATCTTAGAAAGACAAACCTTCTTTTATGCACTATACCTTACTCTGCTAAATGCTTGTTCAGGGCAACAGACACAACAGATAAAGTGTTTGTATGAATGACTTCTTCGGCAGTCTCACCTCCTCTCAGCAATGTGGTGATTACAGGCACATGGTTGGTACAAGCCGCTGCAGAAACACAGGTTAAAAAGAGCAAGTTGCAATACAAAATACAGTAAAAGAGTTTTAAAACACTTGTTGCATGCAAAAAGCTTTGTGTTATTCTGCAGTAGATCTGTTCATTTTAACAGATGTGAGCCTAAAGCAGCTGCACAGTTGTGTGTCAGAGTGTAACCACAGTCACAGGAATTACTAACCACAGAGCTACAGGGTTTACGGGCCATGGGGATAGTTCTGTCTTACCCAGATGGAGGGGGGTATTCCCCAGACTGTCTCGCTGGTTGGGGTCAGCGCCGTGGCTTAGCAACAACTGCACTACAGACATGAAAAAGTAAATTTGACAAAACAAGGACATTTAGTCGTTAAACTTTAGACTCAACTGTTTCTAAAAAGCAGTGTACAAAGCAGGGAAAGTGTAGAAAAAACATTCACGAACATCATGATTACATGCAGCATGGTAAACAAATGCTGCAATTGACAATAATAATGTCACTACCAACCTACCAATGCTCTCATTGCCATTGCAGGAAGAGAAATGAAGGGCAGTTCTTCCCTTGTCATCTGCTGCACAGGGGTCTATGTCATCTTGCAGGAGCTTTCGAACTAGGAGAACAAAACTATATTAGCAAAACACCTCCTTCTTCAATCATCATTCCCCTTACACCACATGCAAGGCGTTTTACTGCGTCGCTTCACAGTTCATACCTGTGTCGATGTCATTGCTGTTCGCCGCTTCCCTCAGTCTTTTCACAGCTGTGGACATAAAACATTCAAATGGATGGACAAGTATGTAAATCATGCTTTATCAGGGCATCAGGGCAACAAACAATAGACATCACACAGGGGACCACTGGCTTTAAACTTTCAATAGGGATGTTTGTTTGATCAGAAACTGACATAGCAACTATATTGTTTATGTTCACTGGGCATGGATAGGAAATTAGGACATTAATATGAGACTAGATAGCTACTGGGATTTTAGTTATAACATGACTGCTACAATGCGGTCTTCTTCTATTAGTCACTGCATTGCACTGTGCCAACGTTTTTACATTTACCTGTGTGTTTATATCCAAATTACTGCTATTGTCACTATCGCGACATTGAGATACTAAGTCTAATCATTATTAACGTTAGCATGTATTTTGTACCTAACCTTACAAATGTAGCAAACACCTAGCTACCTCTGCACACCTAAGCACACACCTTGTTTGTGTTTCAATGTTACTGCTCCCTTACCGTAAATATCTTTACCAATAGGACCAAGGTTCCGCACAACCCTGTGTTGCCGCCTGGCCCTGCTCCCCGTCATCTTCCCCAGCTTGCTCGTCACGCCTGCGGCGCTAAACTCTGCTCGTCCGGGCTCCCACAACAAGTGCAGGTACCTGAGTTCTTTGTCGTCTCTCTGTCCGACTCGACCTAACACCACCTTGCCCTCCCCAGTCCCACTTATTCCAAACCCGACAGCGGTACCCCCGTCGTCCATCCTCCCCCCGTTATCCTGCTGCTCCGTGCCCACCGCCTCCCTGGTTTCATCTTCGGGTCCGGGCTCCACCATGTACTCCCCCTCGGAGCTTGATCGGTCATTATCCGACGCTGTTGCAACGATTGGGCTCCACCCGTCCATGCTCTACCGTGACATATGGATGCTGTGTTTATACTACACTCGCTACATACGGTCCTTACTACTCCTGCCAAAGCAAAAAGGAAATACAACCGTCGTTAATATCGGGAGTCAACCTTGAATATGGCATCTGCTCGGCGACCTCTGGGGCCATTGCACGGCACGTCAACTCAGAAACTCTCCGATTAAAGTCTTTCCATCCTGGTTAATGTGAAGTAGTTCAGCAGCAGAAGCCACACTTCCTTAACAGCTCCAAAATGTCCCCTATTTCACATTTTCCATTTCATCGGATATAAGTAGTAAAATTCACGCCCATTGTACACTTAAAGACTACATGGCAGTGACGACCAATCACATCCCGTGTTGTTCATTAGCTCCCGTCCAATAGAATCTTAGATAATACAACAAAAGGGCAGCCAATCAGGCACCAATGGACCGATGATTGCTCCGCGCATGCGAACCTTGAAAAAAAAAACACTCCAAAAAACATTTGAATAAAAAACGTCACTGTTCCCTCGTTAATGTGTGTTTAATCGGGTAATATCGTGTAAAATTTTTAACACCCACCCTCCACCTTTATAGCTTCACACAATCTAGATTTCTATGATATGAAAATGGCATATTTTAATGTTTATAAATATTTTGTGAGGAATAATAATAAGGGAGCTTTCAAGGGGCAAAGTGCCTCTGATGATGATGAAGTCTGAGGGGCTGTGAGGTGATCACCAGAAGAGTAAATACACAAAGTTATGTTTGTTTTTCAAAACCTTTCTCTAATATTTTCTTAATTTCTAGTGAATTACTGGCTAATTTGGCTTCTTTGGACCATTAAGCATTAAGAAAGGAAAATCACTCTTTGGTTGAAATTGTCAAGTATTTACATCAAGTGACAGGGGTGTCTAAGTAGAAACTGCTTTGTTTTAAGGGGTAACCAGCCCATAAGGTAGGGAACCACTGTTTAGTAGGATGGTATTCTGTCAAAAATATTTGGTCTTGTGGAGGGATCTGTTTTGCGTGCTGGAGGTAGCAATCTGAAGGACATAAACAGCATAGCTTTCAGCATAGACAGCTTTACCACATTTGGCAAAAACAATCAGAAGTCAAGTTTCAGTCCTGATGACAAGGAGGCTCCAGCTTGGGCCAGGTAGTTGCTGAATGCGGCGTTAGTCCCCGATGTGCCTGCATCTTGCTCAGTGACAATCATTCCAGCGTCATGAACGTGCTGCCACATCTGACTGTTGTGAGCGACACCCTGCTGCTTCAAGTATCCTTGCTGACAAAACAGTGGCGGCTTGCGGTGGGTAAGGGAAAAGCGGAAACATGATTCTAAAAGACATGAGAAAACACAGGAAGGATTCAAACTACCATCTGCTATACAACCAAAGATGTTTTTGACTTTTAAACACTCTTTTCTCCTCTGTTTCTGTAGTCACTGCCCTCTGCCACTGTAAGGAATGACTGAGTTGTGCCCATTAGGGCTGGACAACTTACAGCTTTACTGTTTTAATAAATTTATAAATACTGATTATTTTGAAAGTCATATTTTAAAAATACTATTTTTTAGCACAAACAGATCAGTTGCAAGATGCAGCTTTACCAGCATAAAAGGCCCTGAGGTCAGTGTGCACACAGTGCTCCAGGAAGCGCCGCAGTGGCTGGATATGAGATATGGGACTATCCCATTCTGTGAGGAAGTCTTCAACCATGTGATGAATTGCTTTGGGCCTTGGTAAAGTCCAGCCACTGGGACGGAGCTTCATTTCTTCCGCTGGAAAAAAAACATTAACTTTTCACATAGCAGTTATTTTAATTTACTTTATAACGGTAGCTGCATTTCTACTCACCAGTAGGAAGTGTGTCATAGTAGTATAAAACAGGATGCAGAAAGTTGGATTTCCAAGCTTTGGTCCAGTCTGTATTAGCCCTGCTCCGCCCCAGATAGTCAATCTTCTGCTTCCCATACTGCATGACTAGAACTAACAGTCCATGGTTGGACGCCTCATGGCCTGAGAGAGAGGAGAACTGAGGCAAGGCCTGGAGTGGAAACTCTTCCACGTATTCACAGTGAGAGCTTAGAGTCACGGAGAGAAGAAAGAAGCAAAATTTGATGAACATGATGAACTGTGCTTTCGTTTATAGTGAAAAGGTCAGGTAACGTAATTTCCAGCAACATAATTTGGTAATTTTACACCGATGAAGAGCAGCACTCAATGTACTGAGTATGCAGAGGGACTTGTGTTATTGAATAAGTAACCTTTGTTGTTTAAATTCAAACATCATCTGGATTGACAGTGACTGCAGGTTATAATTACAAATTTGAGATTTTCCTACATTTAAAATTAAGGTAAAGTAGGTCAAAATATATGTATTCAAAATTAAACACTGCATGGGTGGTACTGGGTAATAATGTTGTTATACAGCAGTTATGTTTTGTCAAAACCGCTCACTGAGCATTTGGCTCCCTTGGCATACAGCCACTGTGTTTTCACATGAATTAAAAGGAGGTTTGAGTGTTTAATGCCTCCTGTCCAATGGCCATATCCATTCAGAGGTGTTGTGGACATGTAACTTAAAAATGATGGACAGATGGATAACCTGAGCACAGTTGAAAAAAGTTATTAATGGTGATATCAAAATAACATCTGCTTACCCTTGAAGAAGTATAATATCCCCGAGCATCTCAGACATTTGGTATGGCCCAGAGGCCTCGTCGACCCGCTTAAGAATCCAGGACTGCAGCTGCGTTGTCAACAGTTTTGTCGATGGCCACAGGTTGCTATGGTAACGGTATTCAAGTACACGATGCACAGCTCGAGCTGAGGCAGAAAATACACCCAGTTTATTTAAATATCACACTGATTATAAGTAAAATTGGCACAAAGAAAAAACTTTCTTAACTTGTGACCCATGAATGAACCTTTTTCAACAAGCACTGTCACGAAATAACAAACATCTGTTGGTCTTTCACCTGTGTAACGGAATCCATGGACGAAGCCACCAGCAGATGAGCGGTAGTCTCTGGAGTGAGCAGCGGTTCCCAGCACAAACAAGCCAGGAGTGTTCTCCCCTTCATACCAGGCTGTCACACCTGGCAACCTCCCTTTTGCATTTTCACTGTTTGGTGGGCAGGTAGAGCTAGGGGGGATTATTTGTTTAAAAGAAATGTGAACAGCTTGGACTTTTTAAATAATTTGTCATATAATTATAATAGCAACTCATATGACACAGGAAAGGGGCATTTGTTGACAGGACACTGCATTACTTTTCGTTAATAAATGGATATTGACACAATACAATGAACCTACTATGTAAATACATACCTGTCAAATATGCTGAAGTTGAATCGGAATCCAAGGCATCGAATCACACGGTCGTAGGGCTTTCGCATGGAGAAGTTGTCAATGTGATACCCTGGCAGTTCTTCCCCCGTCACATCAGAGCCGTTCTTCCCTTCCTGGTACTGTATGTACTTATTCATAGTTACATAAAACTGTGCCTTTTTCTCTTTCTTCTGTTCACCCAATCCCCTCCTTCCTTGCTTCTTTCGTTGAGCGATAACTAGTTTCTCCAGGCTTGCCTCCACCAAACCATCAAGGGACTTAAGCTGGTATGTGTCTATTAGCTCATTATTCACAGCTCTGAAAAGCAAAAACAATAGATCAGGCGATGTTAAAAGAGCTGGTAGATTCATTGCAGAACAGTTGGTAAAGTTGACATATGCAAAGCATTAAAGGGGACCTATTTTGCTTTTCCTCATTTTTTTGTCATATCTAATGTTACAGTGTTGGATCTTCCAACTAAACATGGCCAAAGTTTCATATAATGAGGTAAGTTTAAAAAGTAATGGCCGTGAGTAAAAACCTCATGCTGCAGAATGCTCAACTGTTTCCAGGTTTTTTTCTACTTTCCTGCCTAGGTCATTATACAGTCATCAGTTAGTTTCCAGTGCGTTTCTTGATGGACAGATGGATTTACTTGGTGCTAAAGTAGCCACTAACTACAGCTAATTGTAGCTGCGGTGAGTTGAGCTTGGTTAGGCGTGCAGCTAGAGGACTGTGAGCTCGGATGGTTAAAATCACTAGCTAAAAGTCTTGGATAAATGATTGAGAAAGCTAAACGTCTTGGACGAATAGTTGAAATAGCTATAGGCCTTGGATAAATGGCTGAAATAGTTTGCTAAAAGTCTTGGATAAATGGTTGAAATAGCTAAAAGGTAATGGATTAATGGTTGAAATAGCTATAGGCCTTGGATAAATGCCTGAAATAGTTTGCTAAACGTCTTGGATAAATTGTTAAAATAGTTAGCTAAAAGGTATAAATGGTTATAATGTCAAGCCTCTTCCACTACAAGTGGTAGTATGAACACAGACTTGGCCAAACTGGCCTAAACTGACAATGCAAATGTATGAAAAGAATATTGTGATATCCACTTTTATATAATTAATAGTGTTACATAAGATCCAGTTTAAATCTTTTGAAATGAACAGCTTTGACCGATGGTGTTCGTGAAGGGGTACTTCGGTTAATCAAATAGGGCTTGGGGGCTGAAAAAAAGGTTGGGAAACCACAGCAAAGACACAGAAAAGATAAGGGAAGAAATCACCAAATCTGTAGCCCTACCTGAGATCTCCAACATAATGTGTTTGCCAGGCCAGACGAACAGGACTGGAACTGAGCATGTGCACTCGACTTGCTTGTCCCATGATGCTCTGGGCTGTTTCAAAAGCCGAGTTCCCCTTGCCCAGAATAAGTACGGCCTGGTTCTTGTAGTCCTCAGGATTAGTGGAGATGGATTCATAGCCTTCAACGAGTTCAGAACCGACAAACTCTACCTTCTGAGGAACCCACAAACCTGTGGCTATCAGAAGGATGCTGAGGGAGAGAGGACAGATGTACAACCTGATGCAATCCACAATCCACAAAAAATTTGGGTTCTCGGGTTCAGTATGACACAAAATACCTGCATGTGTGGTCCGACATATATTGATCAGTCAGGATGTAGCTCCTGCCAGTGTCTGACTGCACTGCCCTGATCCTCCCAATGTCCACACCGTACCGGACCCTCAGCCTGAGCTCCTTCACAAACATGGACAGATAGCGTGGGAAGGCATCAGCTGGCGGGTAAAAGTCAGTGTTCACCCTCTTGAACAGGAGGTCAGGTTTATCGCTCAGCAGAGAATTCCAATCATGACGGAGGTTGAACTCTCGGTTCTGCCTTCCTGTGTGGATCTTGTTAATGCTAATGAGCTTCCTGTGCCTGGGATACCTTGACACACAAAGCAGAGCAGAAAAGGCATGTGTCAAAGATGATTCAGGAAAACACATTCAATTCAATTCAATTTTATATATATGTAGCACCAAATCACAACAACAGTTATCTCAGAGCGACATGTAAAATGTTCCTGTGCCATTTCTTGTGTCTACTGTAACTTCTCCTACTTGTTGAAAAAGCTGCCTGGTCCTGAGTTCCTCTCCAAGATGATGTAGTCTCTTTTAGCCTTGGAAAGGAAATACCCCATCTGCAGTCCAGCAGGCCCAGCTCCAAGCACACAGTAATCATAGGTGCGGGTGCCATTGTGGTGGTCGTGGTTATCAGAGGAGCATTTGACACAGCCAATCACGATGAATAGGATGAAACAAGGAAGGCTTGAATCCATAACCTGCTGGACATGAAGCATTGTGTTAAAAAAAAAGCTTGAGTAAGGATATGATAATACAATAATACAATAAATTAAATCACATAATAAATAAACAAATAACAATGAATGAAATCCATTAAACATTTAGAATATTTTCATAACATATCTATGGGTCATACTTACACATACAAAAAATAAAATAATTACACATATCTCCATTGGTGATATGTTGAAGCGTTGTTTGTAAATTACAATGTTATTACTTGTATTACTTCATTCACTCCTAGCCTGCATGGGCATGTGGGCCATAATTAGGCAACTGGCAACATTGCCTACACATCCTGTGGCTCCATACTCAGAAGCATAAATACAAATTCAGCCCAAATTATCATGGCGCCAAACTAGACGTTTAGCTAATTCGATATTTTAGCGACTCAAATGGGTGTAAACGTGCAAAGACAAGCACCAGAACCCCCCGGCTCTCCATGGACTCTCCAGCCCAAGTTATATCACTCTGCTGCGGATGCGGCGGCTGCCGTCGCCCGCTGAACCAGATGTGAGGTCGGCTAACACATAAATGTAGAAACATGTAAACCTACGTTACCTTTTATATCAGTCGATCCCTCGCGCGCAACATCTGTGATTTAGCATGTAGCAAACCTGTCGAGATTGCTACATGTTTACTATTTTGCATTTTAAAGCGTTTTATGTGGGCTTTGTATTCCCTTCGGAAAATCCACTAGCACTATCCTGCTCCCCCTTGGATAACAAGCACTAATGGAGGGCTGCTTGTATAAGGGGGCGTGATTAGAAAATACCACAGAGGAGAGTAGAAAAGAAAAGAAAAAAGGCTACTGGAGGAAAGATGTCCCCCAGGATCTCACCTAGTTGTGTTTTGAGGTATGTGTGAGCACCACATGTTACATATTGTAGACTTAAAGACTCTCTCAAGAAGTGTTCAAGATTTCTTAAAAACTTTACTATATATTTCTATTTGATTTTACCTCAATGTGATACCTCCTGGCCATGACATTAAAGCTGCTTTTAACCCCTCAAGGGAATCTCTGAGACAGATGCACTATGACTTTGAGAACATCAGGGGAATGAAGAGAGTTGGTATTATATTCCTATGAAACTTTCAGGGCGTATGCTAAGTTAGAAAGATACTGCAACTTCATTCAGTGCTTAGACTTAGTCTAAGTTAAAATTAATTTCATTTAGCACTTCTATTTCTACTGCCATTTCAACTTCTTTTAGTATTCCACTGCCTCTTCAACTGCAACTGTTTCAGGATTTCAACTATTTCAAATGTTTCATCTGCACATTTTCATTAGCGAGGACACACACATTTTCTTCAGTCAAGTATTCCTAGTATTAGTATTCCGATTAAAATTGTTGTCAGGCCTCTTAACCGTGACCATATGTTAACATGTATTTTACTATTACTCCACGTAATAGTATCTCATTACATCATAAACTATTTTATGTTTTTCTTTTCAAAAGTTTAAAAAAATCCATCTGCATTTTCTTCTTTGCTGATAGTAGATGTAAGATAGACTTGTTGCTCAGAGTAGCCTGCACTGTATTCTCATACATTTATCTAAGATTTTATCCAAACAATTGAAACAAATGATATGACTCCTTTCTTGCTGATAAAGAACATTTACATGTCAGGTAGTGCGAGGAATACATTTGTACTTTGAAGGTCCTTTATTGTGAGTTTTTGGTTAACTTTCTCCAGGTAAAATAAGCATACTTATTTGATTATCATTTAAACATTTAGAGGTCCTTGCCTAAAACATAAGCCCTTTCTCCTGCCTGGTAGATCTGAAGATGTACTTAACTGTAATATTAAATACGTAAATAGGCTACAGATTAATACATGTGAGCAGAATTGTAAAGTTGTAGTCTATTCATGTGGAGATAATTTAAGGTACTTTATATACTACTGATTAGTTAATAGTACAACACTGCATTATAGTTTATAGGCTCAGTGTATGTTCTGCATGTAAACTCCTATATTGCTTAGTATCAAAATAATATAGGGGACTAAAAAGTATAATGTTTCCCTCTAAGAAGTCATGAAGTACATCAAAATTGTACTTAGTTACATATCAGCAACAAGTATTCTTTTATCAGATTATGTACAAATGTGGCTGCAAATTCAGCTTTTGATTTCTGCCTTATCATGTTATCAGAATTTTTTCCGCCATATTCACACGTCCTGCTTTGTCATGTTAAGCCTCAGCAGTCTGAGTAACGTGAGTCAGCAGTCTCACTTCCCATGTGACTCAGCTGCTACATCATATCATGGCTCTATAAAAGGGGAAGGACGGAGCAGTGAGGCCACAGAGGACCATTGACCAACTGTCAGAGGACCAACCATCATAACAGAGAGAAGACTTCACTTTATTACAGGTGTGTTTTATACATTGTTGCATACATTGTTACTCAAATATTAAAGTAAATGTGATTAATTAAACCAAACCAACCATTCATTACAGCCTGCAGAGATGGAGACCATGAAGAGTGCCAGGAAAAATGAGACAGGAGATGTTGGCAGGTATGTCAAAGAGTTTTCCAGAGTTTTCAGAACAATTTGAACCCACAGAACTGTTTCGTTCAGAATATGATTTCATGCTTTAAAAGCTCCTTCTGAATAAAAGTGTGCTTTTTTGTGTTGCCCATCTTCTGTCAGTGATTTATCGGAGCAGATTAAGGCAGCCACTAAGGTCAATCATGTCAGAGCTGAAAACACACAGCTGATGCTAAGTTACCAGAAGGGACAGATCACCCTGCCACAGTACAAGGTAAACTCTATACACACTAACTGCCTTCAGTTAACACATCTGTGGGTTAAAAGAAAGACAAAAATCACACTTCCTCTTTCTACATTATCCTGAAAAGTGAATATTTATCTTCACGCTTTTGTCAGGTCCTGTTGTTTTCCCTCTATGAGATCTACAAGGCGCTAGAAGAGGAGCTGGACAGAAATTCTTCCCATCCAGCTGTTGCACCTATATACTTCCCTCAGGAACTTGCCCGCCTGGAAGCACTCGAGGCAGATCTGGAGCATTTCTTTGGCGTAAACTGGAGGAAAATGGTGATTGTCCCCTCAGCCACACACAGATATGAACAGAGACTGCGGAAGGTGAGTTGAGAGGAAGACCTTCAATTATTCATGGTAGGCCTGTTGTGAAATAGCAGCTGAAAAACAGCTTTTTTCTTTCAGATTGGCAAAGAGAGCCCAGAGCTGCTGGTGGCCCACGCCTACACTCGCTATCTTGGTGATCTATCAGGAGGGCAAGTGCTGGGGAAAATTACTCAGAAATCCCTCGGGCTGAGCAGCAAAGGGGGGCTTTCGTTTTTCACCTTCCCTGGAGTGACCAGTCCCAACCGCTTCAAGCAGCTGTACAGGAGCCGGATGAACAGCATCGAGCTGACAGAAGAGGAGAAGGAGGAGGTGCTGAAGGAGGCCGTCGCTGCCTTTGAGTTCAACATCCAGGTGAGATAAGGGGGATCAATGCGCAGATTTACTGTCTAGATGGACAATGTGGTGTCAGTGACCAATAATAGAATCATGGAGTTTGTTCAAAGGTCACATTGAAAGTTGTCTTAAAAAAATAAAAATAAAGGGGAACTGATTCGAATACATGCTAGATAAGCATGCAACCAACTTACTGACTGTATGGCTTTTCCTCCAGGTTTTTGATGACTTGCAGAAAATGTTGAGTGTCACAAGAGAAGCGGTGGACCAACCAGAGCCCAGTGCTGTGAGAACTTCCATATTCACATTTTCACCCATCATGCAGTTCACCGTGGGAGTGTGTGTCGCACTGACCACCATTGGAATGGGACTCTATGCCTTGTAGGCTTTAACCAGCGCTTGTAATTGATATGCACATAGCACTTTACGGATCACTTCATACAACAAATCTGAAATTTCTCATGTATAAACGATCAAATCACAGCAGAAACAGTGATTCTCTCAACTTTTGTCATTTGTAAGAACTTTTTTAAAACAATCCTACAGTGTAAAAACTGTCTGTGATCTTTTTATGATTTGTGTTGAATAAAAATATACAGATCAGAAATTAAAACGCTTCATGTCCTAATATGATTTCAAATACTTTAATTCTTTACACATGCAGACATTTGATACCATCTTCAACAGTGACACCCTAAACATTTTTCATTGTTTTAATATAAATTCTGATACACATAAACACACAGTTGGTGCCATGACCCTGACATTTTGAAATGCACTTTTCACCATGACTGAGATCAGAAATTAAGAGAAGTCCACTGGTAAATCCAGAGTAGCAGGAATAAGCAGACCAAAACTATTTACATTACATCAACAACAACATGTATTAGCACAGTTTGCTCTACTTGACTCTGTAGAGCACTTTCCTTTGCATGCGGTGCTGAAGCTCACCCCTCCTCAACATCAGGTGGAGGACTTTGTAGATGGCGTGCTCTGGATATTTCTGTAAAATGGTACAGAGGGAGAAACGATGAGACATTACTCAATGAACTGGATGAAAAAAAAAAAAAAAATCTTATTTTTGCCTTGTTAATACACCCGATTTAATTTTCCTTTTGTTTTAAATGATGCTTTATGTCTATGTAAAGCATTAAGTAGCTGTCCAAATCACCCCCTTCTCATTCTCTGATTAGCTACAGGTCACTAAAAACACTTCACAAACAAGAACATAGCGATATACACAAAACTCTTTATTGCCTATTTAGTGGTAACCCCATCATTCCCACTATACTCTGCACACAGGACTTGTTTCACCATATAATGGCGGAAAAATAAAACTAATTCACTTCATGTTCCTTTCCCCCTTTATTGTGATTTTCTCAGACTGACCTGTTTAGTGAAGTCTTGGACGATGCTGTGCTCAGACACCTGGGAGCCGATAGCAAAGCGTCTCTTCAGCTGCTTCTCAATGCGTGAGACCATTTCCTGGTCCTCCTGAGAGGTGAAGCCCTCCACTCCTAGAAACAAAACATGTGGTTGGAGAGGTGTTAAGAATTTATTGCACAGTGTCCAGTTAATAGAAATCCTTGACAGAGTAAGCATTTTTGAATTTTGTTAAAGCACAGAGTCGATAGGTAGAGCAGTCGTTCCCTCACAGCCCTGTCAGATGAGCTCCAGTACTCCACACTGACCCCACCAGTCATGTTTCAAATGGGCTGAACTGGATGTTATTTAACACTTTTAACTACATTAATGCAGGGTTCTTGCATCATTTTAAGTCAAATTTAATTCTTTTTAAGACCTTTTAAGACCTCAGCAAATATAAATTTAAGACCTCAAATTTTGAAACAATTTCTTTGATAGAAGAGACGCACGTTTGATCTCTTTATGAACGTCACAATGCCATATTTGGCAGTTTGATTTTCACAGGTGAATGACTTACCTATTCTGAATAGGGAAACATAGAGGCTGTTTACACCTAGTGTTAAAATGTATTTTGGTGATCAGATTGTGATCGGGTAGCACTTGACCACATGAAAGTACATGTGTAAATGCACCCGAGATGTATTGAGGACAGATTGTGATCCAATCAGCAAAACGACCTCTGGAGGTGGTCAGGGACACCATGACCACATGGATGCAAACGCGTTGTCTATCCACATACAACTACTACTTGGGCGGAAATATGTACCGGTCACAGTCTTCTGCAAATAAAATCCAAAAGTCTGACAGCGCAGACAGGCGCCTACACAGTGTGTCCATTCAGTATTGTGCTCAAACAGTGCCGATCATTGATCACGCTCAGGTTTTTGGTGAACTGATCGTGTCCGTTTGTGAATGTGAACTAGGGCTGGGCAATAAAACAATAATGATAATTATCGTGATACCATCTTCCTCAATAACGATATACAAATGTTCAATAAATATTTGGTTTAATTCATTTGAATCACAAACGAATTAGCACTTTCTTTTCTATTAAGAAATATTTCTATTATTGTGTTGAGGAAAAGGGACTGAAAAAAGATTTTACTTTCTTTCTCATGCATATTTGTTGTTTTGAATGTTCTACCTCTGCAAACTCAATATAAAAGAGTAACTTACATATTATAAAGAAATGTAGCAAGAAAACGATGCCGGACCGAACTTAAGTTTCACTTTCACTTTCCGGCAGAGCTAATACACAGGTGCACCGCTAAAGAGAGGTAAACCAATCACAGTGCAAGACATAGCCTACTTTAGAAAGTTATTTTACAATCAGAATCAAGTTTATTATTATTTAGTTAGATATTTTTTATATACAGTCTATGTGTGGGCTACAGTTATTTGAGCTAGACAGAACGATCGGATCTTCCTCCAACTACTTTAACTTGCGTCTCCCAATCTTGCAGCCACGACTGACGTTAATGTGACAGGCAGCCAGATGACAACGTCTGCAGCAACCGTAAACGTAATATATTAAATTTAAATTATTACATATTAGACTTAAATTAATGGTGGGGTCTCGCATTGTCAATTACTAAAAGAAAATCACTCAAATACACGCTAATTAGGCGTTTTAGGCGACTGTGCATGACAATTTTTCTACCAGCCTTAAACGCACCATCTTTAAATTTAATACCTACAGCAAATTTAAGGTAAATTTAAGACCTTAATTTCCCTTATTTAAATTTAAGACCTTTTAAGACTTTTTAAGGAGCCGCGGGAACCCTGTAAAGTGGATATTGTTACAGTATTTCAGCATTTAGGTCAGTTTGGTCAAGTTAGCATTTATACTTAAGCCGCCTTTTCTTTTTTTTTATAAATTGTCATTTCTATTTTTTCAAGTTAGTGGAGCAGCTTCACAATATTACCACATACTAACCCGCAGAAGTACCCTCTGGGGTAAAAGTACCCCTCGCTGGGATTTAGATGATGAAAGGTACTCATGTAGTGTCACTTTACAGTGGACAAAATACAATGGACTTCTGTTACGTTCCTGTCCCAACTACTAAACCACACACCTGAAAGGCTGCCAGACAGTGCAGCATCCAGTGTGGAAACCTGGAAGAGTCTGAGGGCTTCATCAACCTCTTCCTCTCCAGCCACAGCCTGCAGCTTCATCTTGGCCAGGGACTCTGCAATACGCACAACGGCCTCCAGCTGCCTGAAAAAGCAGAGAGAAATGATTACTCAGAGCATTCCAGGTAGAGCAAAAGATATGCATCCATCACTGGTGTTTAGATGTTCAGACAGCATGTAAAAATACCTGACAGTGATGGGGATGGAAGGTCTTTTGTCCGTCTCTCTTTCATGCTCTCGTGCTCCGCTCCTCATCACCACGTATCTGTTTTTCAGCTTCTCCGCAGCCGCAGCAGAGAGGCGAGGGCCGCATTTACTGTAAGCAAACATTCAGACCAAACAAAATTAGTAAGCACGCGACAGTAACTGAAAAAAAAATGTCTGGCTTTTGTGTCGGCAGAAATACAAGTTTAGATTGACTCACGTTCTGGCATAGGCGATGTATTTCTTGAAGGTGGCCAGTGGAATCTCACCCTCAACACCCTCCGTCTGTGTCTGCGCACTCAGGTGAACATTCATCACGTGACGAGCCAGCGTCTACAAAAAGACATGAGAAAAGACATGACACGCTGTACCGCTGCTTTCAAGTGCTGAAAGCGTCCAAGTCATACGCGTGCCTCCTTACCATGTCTCTCTGCTGGTCATGATGATCTTTGATGATGAAGATCATGTCAAAACGGGACAAGATGGTGGGCATGAAGTCAATGTTGTCCTCCCCCTTTGTGTCGTCCCAGCGGCCAAACACAGAGTTAGCTGCAGCCAGCACTGAGCAGCGAGAGTTCAGGGTGGTGGTGATGCCGGCCTGGGGAGAGTTCGTTTGCCCTGTTAACTTCTCAGAACAGCAAGAAAGCTGCGTTTTTGTTAAAATACTGAAATGGGAAATACCTTGGCGATGGAGATGGTCTGTTGCTCCATGGCTTCATGAATGGCCACTCGGTCATCCTCTCTCATCTGAACAACAAAGAGAAGTCTTTAATCTTGGGACACAAATTAAGTTAAAACATAAAAACTCCTGCTACGCAACAAATCCATTTACCTTGTCAAACTCATCGATGCATACAACTCCGCCATCGGCCAGCACCATGGCTCCCCCCTCCATGATGAATCCGCGAGTGTTGGGGTCCCTCAACACGGAGGCCGTCAGACCAGCTGCACTGCTGCCCTTACCGGACGTATAAATCTGACAGCACACAGTGAAGGCTCAGGGTCAGTGGGCGAATTCACGCGCAAGCATGACAACAAAGGAAACTGTACAGTGAAGCGCCATCAGCACGGGAGAACCGATACTTACCCCGATAGGTGAGCACCTCTCCACAAACTTGAGCAGCTGAGACTTGGCTGTACCAGGATCTCCCAGCATCAGCAGGTTGATGTCCCCCCTACGAGTGAGACCATCGGGCAGCCTAAAAAAAGGAAAAGGGGGACAACACATTACTAAACATGTAAGGAGAAGATTTACACCAATCTCTGCTGATTTGGAGAACATCCGGCAGCCTCACCTCTTCCTTGAGCCTCCAAACAACAGACAGGTGATGGCTTTTTTCAGATCATCGCTGCCGTAGATTGACGGAGCTACAGAGCGGGCCAGGGAGGCGTAGATGTTAGGAGTAGCAGCCAGTGCTCTCAGCTCCTCCTCTTCCTGTGGAGAGACTGATCCAGTAGCACCACGGCCTGGAAGGAAAAACAAACTGGGTCCTATAACTCTCCTTCCACATGCTAGAATCGCATATGACAGCAATACTAATATTTTACCTGCCCCTTCGGTGTCCATCTGGATGCCAACCACTCGCAAGTAGGATGCACGGATGCCCACACCAGCACTTTTCTCTTTGCCTTTGGCTTTTGTAGCAGCCATCTTCTTGATGGAGTAGATACCCATGATGGTCACTCTGTTCCCTGGAACCACTCTGTCACACAGATACCTGAGAGGGGAGGAGGACAGTTTTTCATTTCTAATTATAGAAAGATCACAGAAGCACAAGACACCATCGATTTAATAGTTTGCTTGAGAATGAGCTCCTCACCTATCACAGTAGAGCTGTAGATGACGGGGCA